AACACAATGAGCCTCAAACTAATTCTTCAGGGTCTTGACGAAGAAGTCTGACCATCTCGTAAGTGGGCGGCCATGTGATCTTTTGACATCCCATGAAATCCAGTTGGTAATGGCTCTAGTCCAGGGGTCGTCTCCAAATCTTATTACGTGTCAACCCCATCTGATATTCAATCCCTTGGCAAACAAGACAATGTCCCTGATTCTTGTGCGTTGTTAGAGGTTGGAACTCCGGATTCTTTCTCTTATTAGAGTGAAGCATGATACTCCAAGCATAGCTCTTTCGATTCCTCTTTGAGAGAATCGAACAGCGTTCTCTCCTGTTTTCAGAGGGCTCAGGTTTCTGAGGCATATGTTAGTGTAGGAAGAACAGTGGAATGGTAGAGATGTGCTTGGAACTGGAGGTTCTTCCTCCTCTTAGTTATTTCTTCGATGCTCTTGAAGGCATTCCAAGCTGCTCTCTTACTCCTGCGCAACTCAGGTGCCAGGTCATTCATCATGTTGACCTCTCGACCTAGGTACACATAACTGTTGCATTTGGAGATCTTTGTTCCATTGAGAGCTAATGGAACATCAAGAACAAGACTGTTTCTCATGAACATTGTCTTTGTGAGATTCAGTTGTAATCCGACCTTTCTCCACTCACTGTCAAAGTCGACCAGCATTTGTGCTGCTTGGCTAATGTTTGGTGTTATTAGAACGATGCATCAGCTAAGTGGAGGTGGTGTAGTTGCCAACCATCTATCTTCAGTTCCATTTCTTCCCATTCCAGTTGTCACATGATGTTCTCGAGGGTGGCACTGAAGAGTTTCAGTGAAATAGTATCACCCTGCCAAATCCCTCTCTTGACATCGATGATCACTTCTTTGTAGAATGCTGAGATCCTGGTAGTGAATCCGTAATACAGCTCATGGAGGATCCTGATGTATTGAGTTTGAACGCCCTGATTGGCTAGGGCTTCTATGACTGCTTCCATCTCAACAGAATCAAAGGCCTTCTTGAAATCAATGAACGTTACACAGAGCGGCATCTTGAACTCCCGAGAAACTTCAATGAGCTTGGTTATCGTGTGGATATGGTTGATGGTGCTGAATCCTCTTCAGAACCCAGCTTGCTCGTATGGTTGTCCTTCATGTAGTGTTCTGCCAATCCTACTCAGGATGACACGAATGAACAGCTTGTAGATGACAGACAATAGACTGATTGGGCGATAGTTGCCAATGTTTTGGATGTCTCCCTTCTTGTATAGTAGTACAGTCCTGCTGGTTTTCCATTATTCCAAGGATAGAACCTTGCATCAGACATGTAGTGTGTGAAGACCCCAGCCATTAATTGATGAGTACTGACGGTAGCTTCTTCAGGTGTTCTGGTCTGACATTGTCTGGGCCTGGTGCTCTTTGTTTCTTTACCGATGAGATAGCTTGTCAGATTTCGGAGGGGAGAACGTTGGGAACGACATATTCATCTTGCGGAATTTGGTATGTGAGCAGGTGGAAGTGGCTGTCAAAGAGATCTGAGTAGAAGTCATGAATAATCTTCTCCATTGCCCTTCTGGAAGATGTGATATATCCATCAGGACGTCAGAGGGCAGTCATCTTGGTCTTGTAGTTGGTGAAAGACAGGCGGGCATTACGAATGCTTTCCCGGCTTCTGCTGCATTTACCAGCACTGCTGCTCTTCTCTGTTTGAGGTCTTCCTTGATCGCTTCTCTGCACTGCTTTGTGAGTTTGGATGTTCGCTTGCAGTTTCCTGAGGCATGTGCCAATCCACTTGGCGAATAAGCTCAAGAGTTTTCGAAGACAGGCGTTTTTTTTTGTGGTTATCTCTCTCTTGGCATTCCTTGCACAATCATGGAGATTCTGAACCAGTTGACTGTATTCCTCATCAATGTTGTTATCAATGGCATCTTCCCATGTTGCCACAAGATTGCCAAGGAGTTCCCAGTTGGTGGTCATTCTGGGAGTTCTCTTCTTAAACTTTGCAGCCCTTTCTCCCTGCTCCATGATGTAGAATTTTGCATGAAGAAGATGGTGGTCCAATCCCATTTGGAATTTTGGAATAACAATGACATCGGTCAGGCAAAATCATCCGTTGAATATGATGTAGTCAATTTAGTAGTGGAACTGTCCACCGGGAGACTCCAGTGTCCAACATTTAGATTTGGCCGTCTGGAACTGTGAGTTACCATGGATGGTCTTGATCGACATGATGAACTCAGGCAGTCTCTCACCCTTTTCATTCCGTTCTAGGTCCTGTGTCCCTTGTTGAGTTCTTCAGCTGATCTTCTCGGTTCTGTCTTGGCATTAAAATCACTGACAATGATCTTGTAGAAGGTGTGGTCTACTTTATAGAACTTCTTCAGCTCCATGTAGAACTTCTCAATTTTTCCTTCATCATAATTGGATGTTGGTGCATAGACAACAAAGATAGAAACTTCCGGCAGTGAGCCACATCTATTCAAGTGTAATCGTCCGATTTGGGTTATTAGGCATTTGATTTAATCATGCTCATGGCTAAGTTCGTGTTGTCAAGGACACTGACACCACCAACACCTCTTTTATTGCATGTTCTAAGGAACAGTTTTTCTCCAGTGTCGAAAATTTTGTGATGTAATTGATGGCTTCTCATCTCGGTCAGACCAATGATGTTATACTTGATCTTTTATGCTTGCACCATCAGGTCCTTGAGGGATGCATCAGATGCCAGCATACATGCATTGAAAGTACAGAAAGTCAATTTTGTCTTTCTTCATTTTGGCAGCCTAGTTGGGCCTTGTGATTTTATCAGCCTCTTCTTTCACATCCTTCTCAACGCTGCCATATTCAGAGTCAGGAGAATGAGACCCATTGTATTCACTGTATTTGGCATATCTAATACACCACTGATAGCTTGCCAGGCTCTGCCATGTCAGTGGGATATTCTCAGTAGCCTGAAAACACAAATAAACTTTACAGGTGTTCCTATTCAGGCATATGTGCTGGCATGTTACTCTCAATAGCCTGCCGGGTTTTCTGAGAGTGAGAACTAGAGAATAAAAAGTTGCGTGGCCCCAAATGAGGCCACGCACTTCCGGGAGCTCATTGTTATATTCTCTGGATCCTGGCTGTTGATGGGGTTACACAGCAGTTGGTGAGTGTAACTGTCTAGCTACTGGAAGGCCCAGTCCTGAACCGAGCAGGCTTGGAGATCTTAGCACCGGTCCTGCACACCTGGGATCCTCTGCCAGTTTCTTCATGTGTGAGGCTCATCCAAGCGTGTGGAGAATTGTTCTCAGCATGGCTTTGGTTGGGTCCCGGAGGTCTTCAGCTGTCGGACCCTGGTGAGGACAGCCAGGCACAGAGGTAGGAGACTGCTTTGTTCTCTTCCGGGAGCTTGGTGTTATATTCTCTGGATCCTGGCCATTGATGGGGTTACATGGCAGTTGGTAGGTGTAACTGTCTAGCTACTGGAAGGCCCAGTCCCAAACTGAGCAGGCTTGGAGATCTCAGCCCTGGGTCCCGCACACCTGGGTTTCTCTGCCAGTTCCTTCATGTGTGAGGCTTATCCAAGCATGTGGAGAGTGGTCTCAGCATGGATTTGGCTGGGTCCCAGAGGTCTTCAGCTGTCAGGCCCTGGTGAGGACAGCCAGGCACGAAGGTAGGAGACTCTGCTTTGTTCTCTTCCGGGAGCTTGGTGTTATATTCTCTGGATCCTGACCATTGATGGGGTTACACAAAAGTTGGTGGGTGTAACTGTCTAGCTACTGGAAGGCCCAGTCCCAAACTGAGCAGGCTTGGAGATCTCAGCCCCGGGTCCCGCACACCTGGGTTTCTCTGCCAGTTTCTTCATGCGTGAGGCTCATCCAAGCATGTGGAGAGTGGTCTCAGCATGGCTTTGGCTGAGATAATAAGATAATAAGCAAAATATTATAGATATGCATATTTATTCCCACTTTGATGAAAGATCCCCGCTTTCCTTCTTTGAACACACAAATGGTGGAATGTGTTCTGTGTTAATTACCTCCAAATGCTCTTCATAAATTAATGGATTTCAATCAACCAATTGGTGAAAATACATGCATTCATATATATTTAAAATTCTTTCCAGATTCATTTGAAATTCATGTTAATTTTTTATAATTAGAATATAATTTATTATATGCTAATAATAAATAAATACAAATGTTTATATATAATCTATACCTAAATATAATAGATTTCAAAGTAAACAAGAAAGCAAATAGAATCTTCAGATATTCCCTTCCACACTTACAGATTTTCCCTTTTTATATTTCCAGGGGGCTGGAGCGATAGCACAGCGGGTAGGGCATTTGCCTTGCGTGGAGCTAACCAGACTGACCCAGTTTGATTCCTCCACCCTTCTCGGAGAGCCTGGCAAGCTACCAAGAGTATCTCGCCCTCAAGGCAAAGCCTGGCAAGCTCCCTGTGACTATTCAATATGCCAAACACAGTAACAACAAGTCTCACAATCGAGATGTTACTGGGCCCGCTCGAGCAAATCAATGAACAACAGGAAGACAGTGCGATTCAGTGCACTATTTCCAGTATGTTCTATCGAGTGAATGTTAGAGCCCAAGTGATACAGAGGGTATTGCTTCAGAATGAGAATCCAGCAAAATATGAAAGGCTGAGTATGAATGGAAAGCGGAGGGTGTACATAAGATGGGGAGCTCAGCTTTGTGGGTTGAAACTCAGAATGAACAACAGACCTGAATATCAGAAATATTACTCCACCTGCCAGAAAAATGTTATTTCAGCTCTTTGCAGATGGAAAGAGAAAACTCCCTAAGTACTTTCGACCAAAAAAAATTTAGAAGCATTATTATTATATGACTCGACACAGTTCAAAGTCCCCTAAGTTGGTTTTATTGCTTTCATGATCAAAGTACCTGGAAGAGTTAGAGACAGGCTGTGACTTTCTCGTTGAACTCACTTAAGGAAGGATATTAACATGCTATTATCTCTTAGAAGCGCTACTTGCCCTTCTTAAGAATATTTTCTCAAATGAGAGATGGGTTAGAAGTTTGCCACTTCCAGTCTGCAGTCACATTTTGGATGCTGATCACGGAATATCCAGGTAATAACTGTCTCTGGATCTGGGCTTTGTAGGTGTCCTATAGAGACCAGGACCTTCCAGGAAATATCTCTCAATCTGGATCAATTCATATGGTAAAAGAGATGTAGTGATGTATATGTGTGTGGGAACATGTGGGTTCTAAAAAAAGGTTGCAAGTCTAGAGACATATGTGAAGAAATTCCCATTTGGGAGTTTTGGCTCTAAATAAATATTTAGTAAGTGTATAAATTAATGCATAATTGAGTGAATGAATGAATATAAAAAGAGGATGATAAATTAATGGAGAGTAATAAACTGATTCTTTATCAACATTGAAATTAAAGTTTGCAATTTCAAGAGAAACCTGACTAAAGTATGAATCGTCAAATAATTTTAAAATTCACAGAATGAAAGATAATGATTATGGTTTCTGTATGCACTGCTGGTTTTTTGAAAGTAGATAGGAATGGAAAGGCCATGGAGGAGATAGTGAAAGTTGGCGGTGTTTACACTAGGGTATGTGAGGGAAATGGGTCAAATATAACTTGAAAAATTTGGGGGGGCACATCTGGTAGTGCTCAGGGCTTAATCCTGGCTCTGTACTCATGTATCATTCCTGGCAGGGCTTCAGGGGCGAGATTGGGAGCCACGTTGAACCTAGGTTGGCCACATGCAAGGAAAGCACCTTACTCACTGTACTATCTCTCTTATCACCAAGTTTAATTTAAAATATTATTTTAGACACCACGGTTTACAATACTGTTAATGGTAAGGTCTTTGCATAGTACAATACTGTACCACACCATTCATCAGAGAGTTCACTTCCCTCCACCATTGTACAAGTGTTTCCCAGCCTCCTCCCCCTTCTATCTATGCAACCCTACCTTCCATTTCAGAAAGCTTACAAAGATTTTTTTGTATTTTGAGTTTTGAGGCACACCAAGTGTGATTGTGTCTAGTCCTTGGCTCTGTGCTCGGTGGTCAATCCTGGTCAGTTTTTGGGATTGAATCTGGGTTCGTTTCATGAAAGTTAAGACTAAACTTTTCTACTATCTTACTAGTCCATAAACATGCTTTTTAAATAGAATTTTACTCATATTATTTTCTAAACACTTCCTTTAACAGAGTGAAAATTTTGGGCAGCCTGTTTTCCATCTTTAACTTTGAAAATGATGACTCTTTCCAGCACTTCTGCTGCTGGATCTTTCCTTCTTCTTCTCGAAGTATGCAGTTGGTACCTAGCAGGTCAGCCTTCTCCTTCATTATTTTTATTTGTTGTCTGGTTTTTGGTGTGTATTTAATAATTAAGATATATTTTCCAGTCTCCACTTTGTACCTTCAATGCAGTTACTGTCAAGAAAATCCTAGCTGTGTTTGCTGCTAATAGTTTTGAAGTATCAGGCTGAAAATAGGATTGTTTTCCTTCATACAAATCCTTCCATCCCTTTGGATAGAATTGATAAAAATAAGTAGAATATTTAAATGAATCTATATTGAGTATATGTGATTTTGCCAAAGCGATAGCACAGCGGTAGGGCATTTGCCTTGCATGCTGACAACATGGCCGACCCAAGTTTGATTCCTCCACCCCTCTCAGAGAGCCCAACAAGCTACCGAGAGTATCTTGCCCACACGGCAAAGCCTGAAAAGCTACCTGTGACGTATTCAATATGCCAAACACAGTAACAAGTCTCATGATGGAGATATTACTCCATCCCGCTCGAGCAAATCTATGAACAATGGGAGGACCGTGATGGTGAATATTTATGTCAGTTTTTAGAAAATCCTCTTTGTAGTATTTACACTGATAAGAAAAGAGAAATTTTGAGGCCAGATAAATAATATAGCAAGTAGGGTATTTTCCTTGCACACAACCAACTGAGGTTCAATCTCTGAGAACTACCAGAGGTTATCTCTCTCTCTTCTTTTTTACTTATTTATTTATTTTTAATTTTTCTTAGTGAAACACCATGAGGTACAGTTGTAGACTTACAAAATTTTTGTGCTTGGTTTCAGTGGTGGTGGAGAAAGAAGGTTATCTCTTAAGTACAGAGCCTGGAGTACCATTGGGTGTAATCCTTCAAACAAAAAAAAAAGAAGAAGAATAAACAAATATTTGTATAGAAAATTCAGATTCAGGATCCCCTAACTCTATCTGCTTTTTCTTTTTCTTTTTCTTTTTAATTTCTTTGTTTTTTGTCACCATCCCATGATGTTCAAGGTTACTCCTGGCTCTGTGCTCTTTTATCACTCTTGCAGTGCCTGAGGACTATTTGCAGGGGTCATCAGTGTGCAATGAAAGTACCAGAACCTGTGTACTATTTCTCCAAACAATATCTTATTATTTTTGTTAGCAAGTACTATTTCTGGGAAATGAGTTCTTCCTTCATATAATAAAATAGCCCTTCAGGATAAGGTTTTGAGATATAAACTTTGGAGAATATCTAAATATGAGGCATGAATTGTAGTCTTTATATTTGGGTCTGGAGCGATAGCACAGTGGGTAGGGCGTTCGCCTTACAAGTGGCCAACATGGCCGACCCAGTTCGATTCCTCCGCCCCTCTCGGAGAGCCCGGCAAGCTACTGAGAGTATTCGATATGCCAGACACAGTAACAACAAAGTCTCCAGTGGAGACATTACTGGGCTCGCTCGAGCAAATAGACGATCAACGGGAGGACCTTTATATTTGGGTCATCATGTGTAATTTGAGTTCAACTGTGCAGTGAGTATTAAGTATTTAATTCCCATACCTGTTAACTCAGCAGTTATACTAGAATTTTTCCAAAAGAAAAGTTTCTTATGTGTATAATACTTACTTTGAGTCTGTAGAAATAATTAGGAAGCAGTAAAATATTCATAAATATATAAAAGCTGCACCATGACAAGAAAGCAGTATCAAAAACAATCAGAGTTGATTATATATACTAAGGTGATTATATTTGTAATACTAATTGTTATATAAGAAATAAGCTTATGTGCATGAGTGTATCTTATATGTAGTATGTATAGCTAGAGTTTAGTCTCTTAATGTAATAAATAGTTATAAATGCTCAATGTTATGCATGTTATATATAGCATACACATAATGTATATTTGACACCTATGCTATATGTAGTATTGGTAAAACTATATAACTTTTTGTGAAAATAGTAAAATAGAAATATGTTCCCAACTGAATACAGATGTCTTCCACCTATACCTTTTCACATACTTTTCCATTTTTTTATATAATAGTGTCTGAGTTTTCTGTGAAGGGACCAGCTGAGCCTGTTACAGTCCTGCTAGGGATGGATGCCACACTGCCATGTCAGCTGTCTCCTGTGCAGAGTGCAGCCCATATGTACATCTGGTGGTACCGATCTCAGCTCTCCTCCACAGTACTTGTGTACCAGAATGGACAGGAACAAGATGGAGAGCAAATGCTGGAGTATCGTGGCAGGACAGAGCTACTGGTGGACTCTATAGACAAGGGGTCTGTGGCTCTGCGTATCCAACATGTTCGTGTCTCTGATGATGGTCAATATCGGTGTCATTTTAAGGATGAGCACATCTCCCATGAGACCACTGTGGAATTGCATGTTGTAGGTATTGTATCTGAAGATATTTTAGTATCCTTAAAAAGCTGGAATTAATGTAGATACTGATATCTCAAAGAGAAAAGGGAAATACACTCCTTTCTGTAATTTTAATTGAATTATTCCAAATCTTTCGTTTTGCAATTTAATCTTGTTACAAATAGATTACATTAATTTAAAAACTGAATCCCATGGTGATTGAGGTGGAAACATAGTAAAGAGGTTAGGTGCTTGTCTTGCATGTAGTCAATCTTAATTTGATCCCTGACACCACATTTCAGGGATGATCCTTAAGCACAGATCCAAGAGCAGCCCTGAGCAACCTCCTCCCCTGGAGATGGCAAAATGATAATTGATTTACAGTTCAACTTCTTACTTGCTGGGAGTGATTGCTTGACTGCTGAGCTTCAGTTTTCTCATCAATCTAGTGAAGAACCTTTTAACTTCAGTCTTAGGGACTTGTCACCCTTGAAAACCACAGGGCTCAGACACATGTCATCTCTCCTCAGGTTTGGGTTCTGCTCCTCGTGTACACATGACAGGGCCAGAAGATGGTGGTATTCGTATATTGTGCTCCTCCGGAGGTTGGTTCCCAAAACCCAGGTTGCAGTGGAGTGACAAAGCTGGAGCGAAGCTTACAACCCTCTCTGAGACTCTGACCCAAGATGGAGATGGACTCTTCCATGTGGAGGCATCTCTTGTGGTCACAGACAGGTCTCTGGGCAATGTTACCTGCTCCATCCAGAATCCCATTTCCCATGAGGAAAAAGTGTCAGTCATTTTCCTCCCAGGTCAGTGAAAATGCACCTTAAGACAGGGCTGAGGGTGTGGTAAGGGCATGGAAGTGGGTGTGTGGAGTGAGGGTCGCCTTGGAAAGTGGTTAGAACTTCCTCTGGGCCAATGCTTACTCTGTCTCAATGCATTTGTGTGTCAGAGCCCTTCTTCCCCAGGGTGTCTCCATGGAAAGTGGCTCTGGCAGGGACAGCCCCTGTGCTAATTATCCTCCTCACTGGGATCAGCTACATTGGCTGGAAAGAGCATCAAGCCAAGGACATAGAAATTAAAAAACGGAAGAAAGAATCTGAGGAAAGAGATGAAGTGAAAAAAGAAAAGGAAGAGGCACTTAAAGTCAAAGGTAAATTGAGGTAGCAGTGCAAATCTGTGATTAAGGAAAAACTGAGAAATAACTGTAGGTTGGATGAGGAAATAAAAGGTTGCTGAACTTCCCCTAAAAAAGCACAAAATTCCAAGAATTCCATGGACTTAAGAGTCCCATGGAAAGAACAAAAATCATGTAGAAAAATTAGAGAACTGTGAACAGTAGTCAGGGAGCTTGTGGAATGTACCTCTTCAGACTTGTCAGAGCCCTTCCAGAACTCTGGCTTCCAAACATCACTCTTGGGCAAATGGCATGTTCCATCTTTTCTTCCTATCTGCACTTTAATAATGGCTTCAAAACATCTAAGAATCCTTAAACTCTTTTGAAGCAGAAATACCTTTCTCTAACCCCATGACATTTTCCAATAACTTCTTAGTCATTTTATCATTTTAGATTTGACATATACTTTGGTTAATCTTTCCCATTTATTTAACTATGAGGGCCACCATAAATTTAAGAACATTTGATTTTTTAAATTACCTTCTAAAATCAAGTGCATCTAAAACCCAATTTTATAATTTTGTATCTTCTCTTTCAGCGAACCTCAGGGCAGAACTTGGTGAGTCTTCTCTCATTCTCTGTGAGAATGTTCTCCTTTCATATCTGTTCTGAGTATCACAGTTGAATGTTGTTTCTTTCAGAAAAACGAAAGCAGTTATATGATGCAGGTAAGAATCTTGGGGTTTCACATGCCGCCTGATGTCCTTATTTCCAACATTTCCCCATTTCCCTCTCCTTAACATAATGAACAACAGATTTAATGATGATTTTTGGGAAAAAAATAAGAGGAGCGAGGAGGATTCTAAGACTCTGATTCATATATCATCTTGTCTAACCTGAATTTGTTGTTTTAGATTGGAAGAAAGCACTGCTATATCCTGGTAAGTAATTTTTCCCCTACCTTTATAATTTCTGTGTAACTGTGATATTTTGGGAAAAATAACCAGAAACACTCAAATGAACACACCATGTCCACTCACAAATACAAAGATTTATTTGACATTAATTTTTTTGTATTTTGTATGTGGAGAAACAATTAATAGATTGCTTTTCAGGGCTAAGGTGAAAGGAGAAAATCACTGACTATTGGAAAATTCCATAACATGTTTAGAATAGTACTCAATATAAATTATTATGCCATTTATTACAGTGAAGGGAGAAAACTCAGAGTGATTTTGATGACATTTGAGAAGATATAACATTTTATTAATACATCATTTTAATATTCCAAGGAAAAATTAAAAGCTATAAATTGTATTTCATTTTATATGTGGGAAATACTAAGTATACTCTGTGATGAAAGGGATTATGATTGGTTTATATTTTAAAATGTTTGAAAAATAATCTTTTAAAATACTCCAATATAATTTGTAAAAATAAAATTATTTAGGGGTAGTTAAAACAACTCAAAAGACTGGTAGTTAAACAACTCAAAGCAAGTGTTTTGCATGCAGATGCCTTAGAATTTGACCATATACTACTTCCAGCATTGCTGGGTGGAGCCCTAATAACCCCCAACTTTACTAGACTAGAATGGCATTACATTGCTGAGCTCACACACTTTGACCTGCATAGCCTGGTCAAGTCTCCCATGGTCTGTTACTTAGAGGAACCCCTCAAAAATTACTAAGCTAGTAGTAGAGGTAATTGATCATTTTTATATTTTGTATTATCTGTGTCAGTGTGACTTGTGGGTTTATAGGTGTGCATGTGTATTTGTGTATTAGACATTAGAAACATATTATGTCATTTCTTAAACATATATATGACAAATTTTTTATTCTATTAATTGCTTTATATGTTGGGAAAAAAACTATTAATATTTTCCTATGGATAATGCACAGCATGACCCAGGAAACTAACACACAGATTTATTGCTTGATTGCTTGATAAGAGGTAGTCTAAGGAATCCTTTCCAAGAGTAAAGTTATTTACCAACTAATCTCTCTTTCTTTATTCGTTCACTTCATTCACTTCCTTCCTTCTTTCCTTCCTTTCTTCCCTCCCTCCCTCGTTCCTTCCCTCCTTCCTCCTTCCTTTCTTTCCCTCTTTCACTTTCTTTCTCTCTTTCTTTCTCTCTTTCTTTCTTTCTTTCTTTCTTTCTTTCTTTCTTTCTTTCTTTCTTTCTTTTTCCTCCTTCCCTTAAATACAAAGTATAATCTTTAAACAGAAGTACAAATCTTATCATAAAAGAAGTGACTTAAAGGCACAAGTAGATAAAATTGAGAAGTAGAGAACCCTTGAAAAGCATATCTCTGAAGAAAATTATGAAAGATTTGATTGTATGTATCTAAGTAAAGGATTTAGATTATAGATCTTTGTCCTAATATTAAAATAATTTACAGTTGTTCACTTGAGTCATCCTGAATAGAATAGGCAGATCACTAGACGAAGGACAACCATGTGAGCAAGCTGGGTTCTGAAAAGGATTCAGCATGATCGACCATATCCACAGCATGACCAAGCTCATTGATGTTTTGCGAGAGTTCAAGATGCCGCTTTGCCTAACGTTCATCGATTTAAAAGAAAGCCCTTGATTTTATTGAGACTGACGTGGTCATTGAAGCCCTAGCCAAACAGGGCATTCAAACTTAGTACATCAGTAACCTCCATGAACTTTATTAGTATTCACCACCAGGATCTGATCATTGTACAAGGAAGTGATCATCGACATAAAGAGAGGGGTTTGGCAGGGTGATACCTTTTCATGGAAACTCTTCAGTGTCACCCTCGAGAACGTTCTGCAACGACTGGAATGGGAAGAAATGGGAGTGAAGATTGATGGTCAGCAACTGCATCACTTCTGCTTTGCTGATGACACCATTCTAATAACACCAAATATTAGCCAAGCAGCACAAATGCTGGCCGACTTCCACTGTGAGTGTGGAAAGGTCGAACTACAGCTGAATCTCACCAAGACAATGTTCATGAAAAATGAACTAGTCCCTAATGTCCCATTTGCTCTCAATGGAACAAGCATCTCAGAATGTAGCAGCTATGTGTACCTGGGTTGAGAAATCAACATGAGGAACGACTTGGTGCTAGAACTGTGCAGGATGAAGAGTGTAGCATGGAGTGCCATGAAGATTGGATTCCACGGGACATCAAAAGGACACTTCCCACCTATGAGATGGTTAGACTTCTTTGTCAAAACTCTGAACAAACGGTTGAGGCCTTTTGTGTTCCTGGAGTGAGCAGATGCCATGGGGCTACACTAGCACTGACAGGGACGAATGGAGAAGTTACTGGCACCCGCTTGAACAAACCGACAATCAACTGGATGACAAGTGATACAAGTGATACAAGCCATAATCTTAAGATAAATTCTTAGGAGATCACAGGCTAAAATTTTCAAAATAAAACAAAATTAATATAACTTTCTATCACTCATATTTGAGAATTAGTAATGACAATTGAAATCCAGATATTATTCATACCTTGATATGGCTGGGCAAAATTATCCCATCTTAATTGTGCTGACTTGGCTGACAGTGCCCTTAACTTAAACAGAGCACAAAAATTGTACAATGTAGTTGACTTTACAGAAACTGCCAGGGTTTGAGAAGTTTAGAAGATAAAGTGACAAGAGTTGAGAGTAGAAGTGATATGTTAGGAAAGGAAAAGTTTTGTCTTCTCCTTAGCAGTTCATGGTTTAATCTCAGTTTCAATTTGTATTTCTATTTGCAGACTGGAGAAAAGAACATTTTAAGTTGGGTAAGTAGTGTAATCATTTTGCCCCCTTACAAACATTCTATTGGTATCTTCATTTCTCCTTTCAAGATTACATTCTAGTGTAAGACAGAGGAAATGATATTTTCATAAATACAGGGAAGAAAATAAGGATCATCGAATGTTTGCCTGAATTGAAAATGAGTGCCATGTTAAACTATTCCAACTCTGTCTCTAGTTTTATATATTGGCTCAGATTTCTCATCTCATCTATGTTTCTCCATCACTTGGTTGAAATATTAATAAATCTAATGAAGGCAATTAAGTTAAAATTAAGTTCAAAGTGAGTGACAAAAATGTCCAGAGTAACTCAATGTTTCATTTAAAAGGCTCAGATCACATGATGCCTGTTACTAATTGATGAACATTGATAACTTGTAGAGAATGTAGAACTCATATTATTTTCAAGTAAAAACTGATCATATACTAGTATATATGGAGTACTATAGATTAAGGACATACAAGTAGCATCAAATTACTGGTAAAAACACAATCTCTCCCAGTCCAACCTATCCAAGAAGAGACCTTTCATCTAATGAGAAAGAACTTTTTTTTTCTTTTTCCATTTTATTCAAATTTTCCCAGTCTCTTTAAGAACTCACCTACATAATAGCCTTATTAATTATGCAATTTCCTTACATCTTTCCTTTTCCTTTTCTTTCAGCTGACATGACTTTAAAATGGGGAAACTTTGATCAGAATAATTCTGACCCAGATAAAAAAGACAACCTCAAAGAGTTAACACAAGATCAACATTTCAAAAATGAGAAAGGAGATGACAACTGCATCACACTTCATCAAAATTGTTTTACCTCAGGAAGATATTATTGGGAAATAGATGTAGAAGGCATTGAAGAGTGGAGTCTAGGTATCTATGAGGGAGATCTGAAGAATGATGAACCACCGCAAAATTCATCAGAAAAGAAACTTAGAATCTTAGAGAAGAAGGGATGTGAATATAGGGCTCTCACTTATGGTTTCCAAAAAAATTCTAGCAAAGTGTGTCTTCAGATAAAAAAGTGTTTACAGAAGATTGTGGTTTTCTTGGATTATGAGGATAGTGACATTTCTTTTTATAACCTGACTGATGGTTCTCATATCTACACTTTCAAAGAGCCCAGCTTTACTGGATCACTCTGCCCTTACTTCAAACCTAAATCCATGGATTTTTCCCCTTAACTTCAATAAGTGAATTACAGGGAGAGCATAACAATCAAGATAATATTTAATTCTCTGTAAATCTTTCACTCCAGTACCTAAGGAGTGTGCTCAGCTCCACTAATCATGAAACCTTTTGATACAAATTTCAAAGAATTTTCAGGAGCAGAGTTTCTGAACTGGAGCGATAGCACAGCGGGTAGGGCGTTCCTCTTACAAGCGGCCAACATGGCCGACCCGAGTTCGATTCCTCCGCCCCTCTCGGAGAGCCCGGCAAGCTACCGAGAGTATTCGATTTGCCAGACACAGTAACAACAAAGTCTCCAATGGAGACGTTACTGGGCCCGCTTGAGCAAATCGACGATCAATGAGAGGGCCTTTTAAGGCAGAATTATTAATCTCTAAGGATGAATTTTTATTATTTTATAATTTGATTTATACTATTATGTGACACAATTTTCTAAAATAAATTAGTGTAAATATAGAAAATAAAGTAAAATACATATAATACCAAGTAATATTTATCATCTTAACTTCAAAATACCTGTTTATTTAGTCAAATAAAAAGTTTTGAGTACTTCATTTGTCTTATAAATTAGTTGTCATGAATAATTCTTGGTTCTTTTGGGGCCATTCCTATTGGCATTGAGAAAATACTCTCAGAGTGGTTCTTAGGAAGTCTCTATATTGATCAAAGAACTAGGTATTGGAATCAAGTTTAGGGTTCCTGTGTACAAAGCATACACCTTTCTGTATTTTCCCAGTCTCTTGAAAAATATAATTTGCATGTGGGGCTGGTCTGTTGAGTATGTTTTAAGTATCATTTAAAAACGATATTAAAAGAAATAAGAATTATTTAAACTAAAATTTTTAGCAACAACATTGAACAAAAGTTATGAAAGAATTCTATTCCAGATCGTAAAGGACAATTATCCATAATTTGATAACATATTTAGATGTATTTTAAGGTAAAATAATTTAAGGATTTATAAAACTAAATATCTCTCATATTCTTATTTTTCTCCCTCTTTTTAATTTTTCTTTTGGGCCACACATAATGGTGTTCAGGGTTGGCTCCTGAATCTGTGCTCAGGGATCATGCCTGACAGGCTCAGGAGACCACATTGATCAAACATGGGTTGACTACATGCAAGGCTAGTACTCTTTCCACTCTACTATTACTCCAGCCCCTCATAATCTAAATTTAACTAGTGTGATGCTATCAATATGGTATTGGCTGAAGAAATAGAATAAATGAGAATAAACTGAGATATTTATCTTATTCAGAGAAATAGAAAAATTATAGTACTTTCTCAGAGCTATTAATAATGAATATGAATACTTGAAAATTCATTAGCATATATAGGGTGAGGCCTTATTGTTTTCCCTCCAATCAAAACGAATTACTATGCTAAAAAGAACAATTTGGGGAAACAGTAATGAGGGCTCTAACATGAGTAGGAAGAAAGTGTGTTTCTTCAGCTAGACTGTAAAACATGCAAATCCTTTGGCTACTGGGTGAAGTACTAATATGCTTTGACAGGAACATGAAATAATTAATTTTAGCTATAAACTTATCTAGTATGGTGTAAAAATCTTGGTAAAACAATTAAAAAGTGGGATTATTTGAAATATGTTATCGTTGCTACTGTTGTTTCAGTAACATGACACAGCAGTGTTAAAACTTTTAATTATGTTGTAGAAAGTGGTTGTCTGACCACCAAAATGCCATTATTCCAATTTTTGCCATCTATTACCAAAAGAAAAAATGTTAAGTTGAAAAGACATTTACATTTCTAAATCCTTTGATTGTTGTATCTTCATTACAGAACACAGATCAATAAGGTAAGATTCACAGTGATGGCCTTCCATAAAATGAATCCCAGGAACAGAATAGTACTGTAGCACTGTTCTCCTGTTGTTCATTTATTTGCTCAAGGGCATCCAGTAACGTCTCCATTGTGAGACTTGTTGTTACTGTGTTTGGCATATTGAATATGTCACGGGTAGCTTGCCAGGCTTTGCTGTGTGTGGGCGAGATAGCTCTCGGTAGCTTACCGGGCTCTCTGAGAGGGGCGGAAGAATCAAACCCAGGTCGGCCACGTCGGCCACATGCAAGGCAAACACCCTACCCGCTGTGCTATTGTTCCTAAGGTAGAAAAATTCAATTTATAATAAGTAGAAGCACCAACGTTAAAGTTGACATGGATGGAGAAATATTAAAATAATAAAAATGGGATCTTCCATGTGATTAAGGCATTTCACTCCTACCTAAAGAATGTAGAAGAATTTACTTGAAAAATATTATGTGCACATTTATATTCATTGCAATATTATTATTTATTATAACCTAACATGAACACAACCCAACTATCCAAAAAAAATCCCATGATGGAAAAACAAATGCAATCAGGAAGAGATTTCTAAAGTCTGAAACTTCACTCTGGAGGGCAGGGGTTGACATGCCAATCACCTAGCATGTTATGATCTTATATTTATAATAATAGTACAGGAACAATGTATCAGGCCATAAGGGGTGCTTTGGGTCACTAGAGATCAAAGAACATTGGTGAACTCTCAAAACTGGAAGGCATGTTAGAATTACACTCACACTACTTATAGATCCCGTGGAAAAATTCCAGAGTAGAGTTCCAATGTTCATGAAAAACGGACTCATTCCTTTCGTCCCATTTGCTTACAACGGAATGAGCATGTCCGAATGCATCAGTTATATGTACCTAGGTCGAGAAGTCAACATAATGAATGACCTGGCACCTGACCTGTGCAGGAGGAAGAGAGCGGCATGGAATGCCTTCAAGACTATAAAAGAACTAGCTAAGAGGACAAAGAACCTACGTCTCCAGGCACATCACTTTGACTCCACCATTCTCCCTGCATTAACATATGCCTCAGTGAACTGGGCCCTGCGAAAACAGGATGAAAATACTATTCGGGTATCCCAAAGAGGAATTGAAAGAGCTATGCTTAGAGTGTCACACTTCCCACAAGTGAGAAAAGGAATCCGGAGTTCCAACTTCCATCGATGGTTGAGAATCAGGGACACTGTCTCATTTGCCAAGGCGTCGGAAATCAGGTGGACTGGACATCTAATGTGATTTGAAGATGACCACTGGACTAGAGCCATTACCGACGGGATGACAAAAGAACAACACATGGCCACCCACCTACGAAATAGTCATACTTCTTCAGCAAGACTCTGAATGAACGGTTTGAGGCTCTTCATGTTCCTAAAGCAAGCAGGCGCCATTGGGCTACACCGGCATGAAACAGGGACATATGGAGATGTTACTGGCACCCGCTTGAGCAAATTGATAAGTAACGGGATGTCAAGTGATCAAAAGTTCCATACACTCCTACAATTAGCAAATTGAGGTGGGGACTATTAAGTTATCAACAGTACTTACTCTTGCAAGACAAACAGACCTGACCCTGTCAATACATTATTAGTCCTTAATAAGGAAGCCACACCTTAGCACTATTCTGCAGACCTCCTAAAGTACTTTAACCTAGTCTGTGAGCGAATATGTCATTTTTCATTGGCTTGGTAGCCCTGAGTAAACCAGAAATAGCTACCACCCAGCCTGAGGTCTGGTTGTAACTGAAACCTCAATTTTCTTTTAGACAAGTCCTGGCATAGGTTCCACTGTCACTGTCCAGATTTGTGCACCATAACAGCCTAGTGGCTGATGAACACTTAACACTTCAAAATCCTGGTTAGATGCACTCAAACGTGACACACAGGTTCAATGAAAACATTCAAAAATATTAATCACAAATTTACACCCATGACCACTAAAATATGATGCATACCTTCAGCTAGGCAATCACTGTCACTGTCACTGTCCTCCCGTTATTCATCGATTTGCTCGAGCGGGCGCAGTAACACTGTGAGACTTGTTACTGTGTTTGGCATATTGAATATGTCATGGGTAGCTTGCAAGGCTTTGCCATGCAAGCGAGATACTCTTGGTAGCTTGCTGGGCTCTCCAAGAGGAGCGGAGAAATCAAACTTGGGTCAGCCATGTTGGCTGTGTGCAAGGCAAACGCCCTACCCACTGTGCTATCGCTCCAGCCCAAGCTAGGCAATATTGACCATAAATAATGGTCAGTATCTAGACTATTAATGACTAGATAATGGCTATTATCTAATTCTTCTTAACTTTTCATTCACAGGGTTGTCACTGGTGTCCACCAGTGGTGGGACACCAGTGGATAGTAAGTCCTCATTCTTATTTTTGATGAAGAACAATTCAATATTATACACAAAATAAGTTCTACAGTAGTAAATAAAGTTTATTCAAACAAAGTGCACTTTATAGTGACAGGAGTGGGCTGACCAAAATAATTCTCTTTGTTAAGCACAGGATTTTCCAAAGAGTAGGGGTGGACCAACCACATGAATTGCTGTAGACCCTGTCATGACAAATATTATGTTTTCTACTATAATCTTAGTTTGGTTAGGTATAAACATCATACTGGGATGGGATTTTTAGGTGGAACTTAGGTAGGTGATTGATAGGAATGGACAATATTAAATTATATACCCCTGGGAAGATTCATATTGCATAAAGAAAATCACACTAATGAGGATGAAATGCAATATTAGTCATTTTATAATGAATGTTGATGAAGTAGAGTAGCTGAGGACAAGTGTTGGGTTTATCTATGCATGTCCATAGTCAGAAAGGCCCTATTGCTTTTTCTCTTTCATCACTATCAAGTGATTTCCCAGGAACTCCATTTTTACTGGAAAATTCACTTCCATCAGGAGTTTTCCAGGACTTAAATAATTATTTAATGGTTAAATTTGGAGGCAGACAGTAAGATAGAAAAATAAAAGTGTGGCAAAGAAGTTTGTCCAAGGTCCAATGGATAAAGGGAAATAAAAACTATCAGTTGATAGTGAACCCTGTGTATCAGCATGCAGAACTGAGAAAGCAAGATTAGGATGTATATGAGGAGGGAATGATGAGGTAAACTGGACAAGTTACAGTGGCATT